AAAATTAAATTTGTGGCTATACTACATGAATGACACAGTTGGTTTACAATTAAGAATCATGCAGAATATGAATCATTAAAGTCAAACTCATCCTCCGGAAGTGAAAGCAAACAACCCAGACTTAACTGTCACTGCTCTGTTCACTACTCACTCCAGGGCCTGAGGTCAGTAGGTAAGGTAGTTTGATACTGTTTCTTTCAGTTTTATTCTCCCAGATTAGAAAGTAATGTTTTAGATACAAATTTCAGCTTTACAGAAGTAGCAAACAGCTCTTGGAACACTTACTGCAAGAGATACAAATGTCAGTAGCTACTGACCAATTGTTACTTTTATAAGAATTAAACCCAGATAAGCAAAATCCCTAAGAAAGCGATCTAAGACAAAAGGAAAGTCCTCTCCTATCTCCTGTCCTGAACCTGTACACATCGACACCCAGGGGCAGCAGCTGTGGAGCACCAAGCTAGGCTGCCATCGTTAACACCCCTCTCCTACACAGAAGTGCTGGCTCCAGTCCAGACATTTCCACTTCCCATCCAGCTCCCTGCCAATGCAACTGGAAGGCAGCAGAGGAAGGCTCAAGTGCCAACGCTCCTGCCACCCACCTGGGAGACACAGTTCTGAGTACCTGCCTTCAGCATGACCCACCTGCAGCAACTGAAGTAATCTGGGAAGTGAATCAGCCAATTGAAGACTGGTTGACCAATCTCTCTTTCAAGTAATGTCTGTCTTACTCTGGCACCTGGCCTTTCAAAGTAATTATCTTTTAACAACAACAACAACAACAAAAAGGGGGAAAAAAGGGAATTGAAAATTTTTGAGAGTCCCTGGTAACACTGATAAAAAAAAATTAGGGGTCTGGGCCCGGCAGTGTGGCCTAGCGGCTAAAGTCCTCGCCCTGAACGCCAGGGATCCCATATGGGCACCGGTTCTAATCCCAGCAGCTCCACTTCCCATCCAGCTCCCTGCTTGTGGCCTGGAAAAGCAGTCAAGGACGGCCCAAAGCCTTGGGACCCTGCATCCGCATGGGATACCCGGAAGAAGTTCCTGGATCCTGGCTTTGGATTGGCATAGCATCAGCCGTTGCGGTCACTTGGGGAGTGAATCATTGGACTGAAGATCTTCCTCTCTGTCTCTCCTCCTCTCTGTATATGTGACTTTCCAATAAATAAATAAATCCTAAAAAAGAAAAAATCAGCGGACCAGGGCAGTGGGTTAGGCTGATACCTGCTGTGTGGGGCATCCCATATGGGCATCAATTGGAGTTCCAGCAGATCTTCCTCTGATCCAGCTCCCTGCTAATGGTATGAGGGAAGTGGTGGAGGACGGTCCAAGTGCTTGAACCCCCATTATCCATATGGGAGACCTGGAAGAGGCTTCTGGCTCTAGGGCTGGGCCTTGCCCTATCCCAGCCATTAAGGCCATCTGGGGAGTAAATCGGCACAGCCATTGAGGTCACCTGGGGAGTGAACCAGCGGGTGGAAGATCTTTCTCCGTTTCTCCTTCTCTGTGTAAATTGGACTTTCCAATAAAAAGTAAATAAAAAAAATTGCTGAGACAAAATAATATCTTGTAAGATTTTAATGGCTCAGAATGAGAGTATGACTTTTAGTATTTTAAGCATTTAATATTTTAAATATCTCAATAGCATATGCCATCAACTGTAATTACATGCCTTCCTTTCGTGATACCTAACAATCCCCACTAATTAAAACAAACATGAATCCCTTTTACAAGTGTTTTACAGGTTTTTGCCATACTAGAACGAAAAAAAACTGGACACTTGCACAATGCACATGAAAATTTCAATAAACAGAATAACAGAAATAATAATAAACAGAAATCCAGTAACTCTGTTGATTCTACATCAAGGCAAACATGAATAAATAGACTTAAAAAAAATGGCTTCTCATTCTATTTGCTGACAAAACAGACAACAGTTACCCAATCTGTCATTCCCTTAAAAATTGTAGCTTTTGGGGCCAGTGCTGTGACACAGTGGGTTAAGAGCTGCCTGTGATGCCAGCAGCCCACTGGAGCACCAGTTTTTTTTTTTAAGATTATTTTTATTGGAAAGGCAGATACACAGAGAGGAGGAGAGACAGAAAGGAAGTTCTTTCATCCATTAATTCACTCCCCAAGTGACCGCTACAGCCGGTACGCCGATCCAAAGCTATGAGCTCTTCCGGTTCTCCCACACAGGTACAGGGTCATCCTCGACTGCTTTCCCGGGCCACAAGCAGGGAACTGGATAGGAAGCAGGGCCGCAGGATTAGAACCGGCGCCAGTATCGTATCCTGGCGAGTGCAAGGAGAGGACTTCAACCACTACGCTGTAACGCCGGGCCTGGGAGCACCAGTTTAAGTCCCAGCTGTCCTACTTTTGATCCAGGCCCCAGTGATCATGCCTGGAAAAACAGCAGCAGATAGCTCATCTGCTCATGCCCAACACTCACATGGCACGCACAGATGAAGTTCCTGACTTCTGATTTGGCCATCTGGGGAGCGAACCAGTAGATGGAATTCTCTCCCTCTTGAACTCTTTCTCTAAATAAATCTTTCTAAATTAAAAAAAAAAAATGTACAGCTATTGCTAGGGTGGAAAAAGAGCGTGAGGATTCTGCTAGTTCAAACCAAACAAATAATTCCCCAGATGTAAAACTCACTGAGGTCACCAACGAAAAGGCACTTTTCTGAATATGGAGCTATTTCTACAATGCAAACAATGGTATGTCCAAGGGTTCTGTCTAGTTTTATTGCAGGTCTAAAATCATAAATTTTAAAGCAGTTGATGTTTCATAAAGAATTCAATTTTAGTTTTTAACAATAGTGAGCATTAATCATTACAATATCAAACAATTACCAAACACCATGAAATCTAAAAATTGCTTTCTTGGACCTGGTGCGTTGGCTGAATTGGCTAAATCCTTACCTTGCAAGCACCAGGATCCCAAATAGGCACCGGTCTGTTGTCCCGGCTGCTCCACTTCTCATTCAACTCCCTGCCTATGGCCTGGAAAGCAGTAGAGACTGGCCCAATGCCTTGGGACCCTGTATCCACGTCCATCTGAAAGAAACTCCTGTATCTGCATCAGTTCAACTCCTAGTGTTGTGGCCATCTGGGGAGTGAACCAGCAGATGGAAGATCTTTTTGTCTCTACTCCTCTGCATTACAAAAAGAAAAGTGATCTGCCATTTCAATAAAAATAATCCTTAAAAGAAAATGCTAAAAAAAAGAAAAAAAAAAACTGTAGAGACTTAAGAAAATCTAAAATCTGAAAGGGAATTTTCTAAATGCTATCAAATACCAAAGTCAGAGTCCCCGGGATAGGGCAGAGCGACTGAAGCTGCAGTTAAATATTAAAAATTAGTTTCACATATAAAGATCATAATTAACAATTGCTATGGAACTAAGAATATCCCTCATTCATCTCCTACTCTTTCATAGTTAAAAAAGCAAACGAAACCAGAAAAGATCAAACAAATGATAAATCACTCAAAAATCCTCTTGGCCATTCTTATTAGTATCACTCAGAATCATCAATTTTTAGTACTAGATGAAATACTATTAAGTGAATGGTCATATCTAGTGAGACTGAACTTAAGATTAAGATCACCAAGAAAAAAACTGAGGGCCCAACAGGAGGCTTATACCGTGGGGATGCTGCTGTGGCACAGCAGGTAAAGCCAGCACTGACAATGGTGCTGTCCGATTTGGTTTTAAGTCCTGGCTGCTCTACTTCTGTTCTAGCTTCCTGCTAACGTGCATGGGAAATCAGCGGAAGATGGCCCAAGTGACCCTGCACCCATGGGGGCGACCCAGAAGCTCCTGGCTGCAGGCTGGCATAGCCCCGACGATTGTAGCCATTTGGGGGGCTATCCCTTTCGCTTGAACGGTGCCTTTCAAACAAATAAATTCTAACAAAACATAACAAATCTTATATTTCCTAGTTCTCAGATTTCAGGGATTCTTCCATCATACTGTTATACAACTTATATTTCAAAAGAAAAAAAAAGGTGCAGTAGGCATTGGGTGCATCAGTGATGTGTAGCCTCACACTGCAGGAACCAAACCTTAGCGCTTCATCCCAACGTCAAAGCTTCCTTTGAAACTTATCTGACTACTTGGTAAAAATCTGTTTTCACTACAGAAAGTGTAAAATGGAAATGACTTGCCATGTGTACAGGTGTACATAAACTTGCATGTGTGTAAAATCACATAGGTATATACCTGGGAACTATTTCACTCCAGCCTGCTGTGAATTCTGAGTTCCTCTGGCACCACCACGGCACAACTCCGAACCAGAGAAAATCCTCCTCCCACTCATCCCAGTACTGTTAAATGCAGCCAGGCCAACTCTGCACAGCTGTCAGATACCAAAAGGATTTAAGAGTCAGCTCAGTGCACCGACATGAAGCACTTTAGCACAGACGCCGGCCCCGCTGCAGCGAACTTGCGGCAGAGGTGGCAGGCTGTGAAACTGATGTGCCTAGGAAGCTTCCAGCCGAAAAGTTTAGGAATTCATTCAAAGAGAAGGAAAGGAAAAACCAAAAACCCAAAATGTACCACTGAGCCCACCATTTACTCTTTAGTACGCTTCTGTGCACATATACGTACAAGACCATCTAATCAGGTTTTTTTTTTTTACTTCTGTCAATCAACCAGCTGTTGCCCGGGACCCCGGGGTGGGCGGGGGGGGGGGGGGAGTAACAGCTTCAGCAAGGGGAGTGGCTCATTATCAAAAGCGCCTTTTCCCATTACGTTTTAGGTCTCTGGAAACCACAAAAGTCATTCATATCACTACCGCTGAACCACGCGATAAGGTAACCCCTGGCTTGCTAATGCACTCCTCCCATTTGTACCTACAACACCAAGGATAAATGCTGTGTCACCGAAAAGCAGTAGCCGTTTCGGAATGCAAAAAAGCAGAGTGTCTCGGAAGACCTCCAAGCCGTCCCCTCGGGCCACACTGCATCCCCGCCCGAAACCCGCCCTCTGCTCACCATCTCCAGGTGGGCACCGGGGCCCTCCGCGTGCCCGCTGCCCAGCCCCGGGCTGGCTCTGCCCTCCGGGGTCTTCCGTTCGCTGCGTCCCTTCAGGCTGCCGGCGTCGCCCCGGCCCCCGGCCTCCCGGCGCCGCCTCTGCCGGCTCCACAGGTACATGGCCCCGGCCCCCAGCAGCAGCGGCGCCCCGACCGCCAGCGCCAGCTGCCATCGCGGCAGGCCCCCGGCGCCCGGGCCCGCCGTCCCGCCGCCGCCCACCCCGCTGCCGGAGCCCGGGGCAGCCGCCGCTGCGGCCACCGCCGCCTCCACAGGTTTAGAGGCGGCCATGACGCGTGTCCTCCGCCACCGCCTCTCCGCCGGGCCTGGGCGCCCCGGCCGGCCGTCAGCGTGCGAAGGAGCACCGCAGGGAGGGAGGAAGAGCGGGCAAGAGCGAGCACGCCGATCAGCCGGAGCGGACGACAGAGAGGCCAGAGGTCACCGGAAGCCCGGGGCATGCCGGGTCGGTCTAACCGTCCGCCTCCTCCCCTCTCAACTGCAGAGGAAGCGGATGAGGAGAACCACTTCCGGGTGTCTCCCCGCAGTCGCCGGTGGAAGAGACTCACTTGTGGGCTGCAGCCCATGTCCTCTAGCTCCGGGAGCGGACAGGTGGCCCTGCTGCCCAGCAAAGCGCAGGGGGCGCGAGTGTCGTGGGCTGGGGGACGCGTGGGCGACCAAGACAAGGAAAAGCTCGGGGTGCTGCGAGGGGCGGGCGGAGCGCTGGGCGCACTGTGGGCCGAGCCGCCCCGTCTGTTGGCGCACTGGGACAGTGTCCGTTAACGCCACGTTGTTTGTGGTGGGTTGGAGCGGCCGTTAGCTCCGAGTGTTGTCCGCGAGCCGGAGAAACCGACGGATTGGGAGCGCCCGTAAGCGTGTGTGAGGAAGGAGCTCCAGGCTGAGGCCATGGCCAGGTCGTGGCTTGGACGGATTTGAGGTTGTTGGATCCACAGCAGGTGGCAGAAAGACTAGGTGGAAACAGGCCCATCTAGGTTGGATCCCAGGGGCTCACCATGTATACTATGGAAGTAGTGACGTCTGTGTTGTGAGAAGGTGCTCGAATTGGATGGGTGGACGTGAGAAAGCCCCCCGTGGTTCTGCTCGCCTTTGTGTCCGTGGGTCTTGAATTGGCATTTGGTCTGATAGCTCAGCTCCCTGGAGACTTTGGGCCTTTCTTAGATCCAGATACCAATACTTCTAGAACAGCGCTCTCTACCTGCTCACCTCATTACCTAAGCATAATTTCATAGTCTTCATCTCTGTGATACCTTTGTCAGATATTTTTCTCATGCTGTGTACCAGAGCTCTGAAAATACAAAAGCAGCCCATTCAGGGCATGGTTTGCAATTGACACTATTTTCAGGAAGGCAGATAGTACTAATAGAAAACCAGGAACGTGCTGTGTGGAGCCCCAGTTACTGCCTGGAACTCTGACCTCGTGTGTTGCAAGTACTGGTTCTGCTCTACCTCCAGTTCCAGGTCAGCTTCCTGCTGATGGGCATCCTGTGTTTCAGGAGGTGATCGCTTCTGTTCTTGGATCCTTGCCCCTTACCCCCACTTAAGAGACCTTGGCTTCACCTGGCCCAGCCCAAGCTGTTTTGGGCATTTGGGAGTGAAGCAGAGGATGGAAGATCCCTTTTGCTCTGCATTTCAAGCACAAGAGAATCAAAATCCCCACGTACACTAATTTGCAGACCATGACATTAAAAAATCATTTCATTTTGCATGTAATAGGATTGTCATCACCACAGCACTATATAATGATTAAAAGGAGATTATTAAGCAGCATGCAAATGGACTGATTAAAACAATGGCCTAAATTGAAAGATTGTGGATTAGTGCTTTCCTGTTGGTTCACTCAGGTTATTAGTAAATTGCTTTCAGACAATTGGATTCCTTGAAACACCAAAAATTGGAGAGGAGGGCGACAAAATGATAGCAGATGGAATCCATCATATTGCCGTTACTGTAGGCATCCAATTTCTCCTGAGCCCACAACCCCAGCAAGCCTTTGCATATAATCTTCGCTTTCCCTTTTCAGAGCAAAGAAGATTTTCCTTTACTGAGATTTAATTTTCTGCAGCCTGTTCTTTTAAAGATTTGTTTGAGCTACAGAGAGAAGTTCAAAGATCTTCCATTTCCTGGTTCACTCCCCAAGTGCTGCGATGGCTGAAGCTGGACCAAAGCCAGCAACCAGGACCTCTCCCACATGGATGCAGGGGTCCAAACCCATGCACCATCTTCTGTTGCCTTCCCAGGCAAATCCAGAAGGCAGCTGGATAGGAAGCAGAGCAGTTGACACTCAAATCAGTGCTCATATAGGAGGCTAGCACCACTGGTGAGGCAGCCTTACCTGCGATGCCACAGTGCTGGCCCTTGCAGACTGAATTAGAATTGTGAATGCCGGGATTGGCACAGTGATACAGCACACTTATCCCTTGCCCTGTGACACTGGCACCACATAGAGGCACTGTCATGGATCCCAGCTACTGCAGTTGCCATCCAGCTCTCTGCTTCTAACCTAGGAAAGCTGTGGAGAGTGATCCAAAACCTTGGGACCTTGTACCCACATGTGATACCTGAAGAGGTTCCTGGCTCCTGGCTCCTAGCTTTGGATCAGCTCTGCTCCGGCCCTTGTGGCCATCTGGGGAATGAACCAGCTGGTAAAAGACCTCTATCCTCTCTGTAAAATTTGTCTTTCAAGTAAAAATCTTTGAAAAGAATTGATACTAATAGTTGTGAACTCTTGGTAGGAGCTAAAACATTTACTTTTGTGACTTGTACTTATTTATTGGAATAGATTGTTTAAATTCCAAAAGGTACGACAAATGGACTGTGAAAAACAACTTCAATCAATCCGTGTTCTAATACGCAAAGTTTCTCTTTCCAAAGACAGTGTTAAAACTGCTTAAAATTTAAAAAAAGATATTATCTAAAGAATTGTGTGGTGGTAATTTTTGTTTTCTTTTTTTAAGCTAATGGCCAATCTTTTGCATTTTAAAAATATATATGTATGAGAAAAAATAGTACGCCAGTGTTGTAGTTCCCTCCCCAGATACCCATCATGGCAGGGGCTGGGCCAGGATAAGCCCAGAAACTAAGAATTCAAACCAAGTCCCCCAGCACAGCTGGCAGGGATCCAACCACTTGGCCATCACTAATGGCTTCCAGTATGTACACTGGCAAGAAGCTGAAATCGGCAGTCAAATTCAGGTATCCACCCCAGATACTCCTATATGAATTGTGGACTTTATAACCACAGGTAATCACTAATTTTTGCAAATTATAATTTTAAGATTAGCATCAGTAAATAAATTTTTTTCCTGTTGCTTTTATAGTTTCGTAAGCATCTTAATTTCATTCTCTAGGCTATTTGTCTCTTTTCTGCTATTTTCCTCTTCTGTTTTTTCATTGATTGTAGCATAGAGCAGAATTTAAATTGTTGCTGGCTTTGTGACCTTCCTTACCCAAAAAATACGTATAAGGTGTCCAACACTGAAAATATACACACCTTTCAGGTTATGGTAGAGATACAACTCAATTCTACTTAGTCTTTTTGATGTTTGGTACACAGCAGTAGACATTTATTGCTTAGTTAAAGAGAAACAGTAAGAAACTGTTTCTTGGGCCCCGGCACAGTAGCCTGGCGGCTAAAGTCCTTGCCTTGCATGTGCCAGGATCCCATTTGGGCACTGGTTCTAATGCTGGTGGTCCCACTTCCCATCCAGCTCCCTGCTTGTAACCAGGGAAAGTAATTGAGGATGGCCTAAAGCCTTGGGACCCTGCACCCATGTGAGAAACTCGGGCTCCTGGCTTCAGATCAGTACAGCTCCGGCCTTTGTGGCTGCTTGGCAAGTGAATCATTGTACAGAGATCGTCTTCTCTGTCCTCCTCTCTGTATGTCTTTCTGATAAAGAAGTATAATATATATATAATATATACTTTTTTTGTTTTAAGAAGAAACTACTTAAAATTTGAGCACATTTTTCTTAGAGTAATAGAATGTAATAGAGGTAACTTTTCTTCACTCTGTATTTTAGGAAGCAAATGAATGAGGTAGAACATTTTGGGTTTGAAAGTCTTGATTTTGAAGACTTGGATCTTAATAGCATGAAGTTGTGTGTATGTGACTGCAGGTAACTCTGTTTCCTTCCCCTCTTTCTCCTCCTCCTCCCTTTTCTCCTTCTCCTCTTTACTCTGTCTCCTTCCACCTGTCTTGCTCTGTTCTCTGAGGGCAGTTCTCTGCAAAATATTGAGTGTTCATTTCCACATTAGTTCTAAACCACTTCCATTATGTCATTTAAAGTGGCCTCATTTTCTTTGACCTTGGAAATGTATAGTAAGCTCTAGAATTTCCTTTCCAGCTTCCAGTGAGTCTAGTACCTTCCTGAGGCCTGCTGCAGGGGTGGGGGTGAGTGGTGAGCCACCTGGGGCCTTTCAGGAGCAAGGCTACCTTGCTATCACTTCCATTGTCATCGCTACGTGAAAGCCTTTCAGATTGATAAAGTTGATGAATAACTGCTTGATGGATGTCCAAACCTTCCAGTCAAGCATACCTGCTTATTTTAAGCAGATTCTCATGCCTAACAACTCTTACTCTTTTTGAAACTCAGTCTCTTAGTTCATTTTGTTTTTTATCACCAGAAATTACTAGTGAAGAAAAGTACCTATTGCCTCTACTTACTATTCATTTCAACCAAAATACTATTGTAATTTTGTTTCTTTATAGTCTAAAACTGCCTTAGACGTCCCTGAATCTTTGGCTTTCATATGCTTTTATCTGATTATCACTGGTTGCTCCTGCCATTTTCAGGAGACTAGATTTTACTGCTAATTCCTTTCTCTGACCAATCTCTGGATTGATGTTGTCCAAAAGAACTTTTTGTGGTGTTAGACATATCAATAATTTCTGATATGGTAGACACTATATATGTAGCTATTGAAGTGTATTGAATGTTATTAAATGAATTTTTTCAGTTATCTAACTAATTTTGTGTGACTAATGACAACTATATTGACCAGCAATGCATAGAACCTCAAGCATAAGAATTCATAAACGTTTGACTTCTTTGTCACTCCATTATAACTAAACCTAATGTCATTGTATCAGGTGTTGGATCTCTCTGTAGATGATATATACACACATATATATATATAAATATATATATGTAATTTATGTATTTAATTTGAGAGGTAGCAAGATGAAGATAGAGTCCTATTCACTGGTTTATTTCCAACCATGCAACATGTTCTCCAAGACCAGACCACACATCCATGGGTTTTGTTTCTTGAGATCAGGATTCCTGTTAGTCTGAGGCAATCATGAGACTAAAAAAATCCCACCCCACCATACCTCACTGTCTGGTCTGCCCACTGCCCCAGCTCTCCTGCACACCAGAGGGTGCATCAGTCTAGTCCTAGGAGACCCTCAGGGCTCCCCCTACCAAACCTGCTCCTAGCTCTGGCTCTTATATGCTAGTGTGTGTAGCAGCCTAATCCAACGTGCTCCCAGCCCGTCTCACATGTGCTGGAGGGTGA